GCAAGTAGATAGTATTCTATATAAAAAATATGAGCATGGTCACACCATAAAAGAATGGTTTTATTTATGACCATAGTTTTAAAAATACGACTTCTAATTTTATTGCAGAAATTCTGGAAGTGTGACCAGTTGAGGCTACTCTTTTCCATATGCAATAAACTGGCATCAGAAATGATGGATCAGAATTTGGATGTATAACTATCTAAAATCCATATGCAAGTGGATATGTAGTGCTGTTACAGAACTAGTTTAGAGCTAGTTCTGCAGGCAGGAGTTCAGCATCAGGCCAGTGAGAATTTTAAAAATTCATTTTTCTTCCTTGGAGATGCTCAGATAAAACTCTGGGCTTCTCTATGTCTGGTTTTAAGCTACTTATGTATTTCTGTATTTGCACTTTTTAGGAAATGAATAGTGGGTGTGTTTTTTTATGGCTTTGAGATTAAAGGTGCACCACAATTGACTTGATTTAAAGAGAGAAGTGTAGAAAGTTTTAAAATGACTAATATCTGAAGGTTGTAAGTAAAATAATTTTCTATTAAAATCAGTAGCATATCTAATGCTTCTGATTTGAATGTTCAAAATGTTATTCTGTGTGTCTGTAACACATTCAAAATCTGTTATTTGCTTGACTTTTAAATGCTTTTTTACTGTTATGATTTTGTGATGTAAACTTGTCCTTTGCTTGTTTTGTTTCTTGCTGTGGCTTTTGACTCATCACAGTTGCAAAAGTAGAGCCCAGACAGTAGCTACTATTTAGCCTGTTGAGATTTTCTGAAGTGCATTTTTTTTTCCGTAGGAATTCAGACTCTGTGGAGACATTTCATCACTGATTTTTATCCCGAACTGCCTAGGTTTTCTGTGATGTTCCTCCTATCAGACTTGTTTCTTAAAACCACCATTCATTAGTCTCAGCTTCCATAATCAGCTGATTTTGGCTAACTTGGAAATACAAGTAGTATAGTGCTGTGCTGATTCCAACTGGCTAATGCTTTGCTTCACAAACAGGTATTGTAACCTATGGCTGAGGAGTCTTGTTCTGCAGTTGGTGGGAGTGGGGCAGTGATACAGTTTTTACATCCCCAGTCCTGGGCAGGAGTTGGTTTGGTCTTCATTAGTGCTTGCACTGGGGAAGGAATAGAGTTCTCCCTTAGTATTGCAAATATGCACCCTTCCTAGAAACAATGAGTAAGTGAGATGGTGGGCTTCAGGGAGTTAAAGCTGAGAGAAGAGCTTCAACAAGCTTTTTTAATAATATATTTTCTTGACATTCTTTATAAGGTATTAGTAAGCAAACATCCAGTCTCTCTCATTACAGGCTTTGTCAGTTCTTACGAATTTCAGTAAGGCCAAGATTGAAGTGCCCTTGCAACATAAAAAGAGTAGAGGACTGAACCCACAATTTTAATGCAGTGGTTTGCATGAAGAATGAAAGCTGTGACTCATGACAAGTCCAGAACAGGTTTTGTTTGTTTGCAATCCATTTCATGAAATTAGCATAGACATGTGGTATCTGCTTGCTGTGGCAGTGGGTTGTGCTTAACGTATTTATCAAAGCTTCAGATGGAGTTTGTTCAACTCCTGAAATCAAAGGAAACAAGTTAATAGTTCATAATGTAGTGATATATATTGCCAAAGAAAATGGAAAAGATTTTATACTTCTGTAGTTGCAGAGTGAGAGTGCTCTGAGATCTTTTGATGTCAAAGTTTATGCAAAACCTTGCTAATGGCTATGGCTGAGTAATTTGCAAGGCATCCCAATGCCAGCAGGAAACAAAAAGATAGCTGGACTTGGTGCTGCATCTTATTCTCTTTCTGTCTCTGGGAAATCCAGCAGGGAGGACTCCGAAGGAGTATACCTGGGCACACCAAATTGCTGGATCTCACCTATAATTTTTTAATGCCTGCTGTCAACTACAGTAATGCTCTGAGATGTTTATGAGGAGACTGAGAAAGGGGTCCTTTAGAAAATAAATGGAGAAAAATGTGGCTTGCAACAACAATAATTTCACAAAAAAACACCTCTCCCAAATTATTTTACTAAAATAGACAAGAACCCCTTGTTCTATTTAGAATGATTTATAACTGTTCCCAGCTGATCACAAAGTGTTTCTAAATTAAAAGCCATTAATTATAGCCTTATATAGATACAAAGATATGCAAGAAGTGCTTTGTAATTCCAGCTCTGCACTTCAGGTGAGAGCTTTTTAAATTACTTGGACCATTGGAGCCACCTGCTTGACTAAATGCTGAGGGCCCTGTGTTTCAGTACTCATCAGTGCATTGCAGTGTTAACATTGTTACTGATTTTTCTCATTTCTCCAGGGCAAATACTAATTAATGGATACAATTCACAGCTGATTAGCTGTAGTTTCTTCAGTAATTACATTCGTAGACTAACTGTTCAGAAGAGGATTTCTAACCCAGTTCTTATTTCACTCTAAGCTTAATTTGTTTTTTGAATTGTTTAGGTCCTTAAGATAATAACCATTTTATTTTCTTTTGTGGTTATAGGTACCATTAGATATTAAGGAAGTTTAATCTTAGAAATACTCACTGATAATTGTTGTGTGCCTTCAGTGGAGTTCTAATTCAGAGACAAAAGATAAATGTAAATAATATTAGTTATGAGCCACACTAACAAAAGCCCAAATATGCCAGGTTCTGACATCAGTGCGTGAGGCATAAGTAATAGGGTCTTAAGTATTGTAGCCCAAGAACAGAAAGAATATAAGGATATTTACTTGTAATTTTTAGGTTTGAAGTTCCTCATTAGGTTATTTGCTCCCATGGTCTTGATAAAATAGAGAATGATACTGTCACATTCCCCTTTTTTATTCTTTAATAAAACAAAAAGGAAGAAAATCAGTTGGCGGTCAGAACAACAGTAGCTGTGTGTGAAACAATGTAAAGTGTTACTCTTCAAGGTTAAAATCAGCTGCATTTCAGTTTTGAGGCACTGGAACCCCTAGGATGCTAAGCTCATTGAAATAGAATAGGGTTTGTTCTCACTTTTTAAAATCCAATTTTAAAGCTATATTTGCCTGTTGTGCCTATGCACTTAGGTATAATTTGAAAACCCAATTTATTTTTTCTTACTGTAGAAAGAACAGCTTTATTGGAGCCATTTGAGTTTTTCATGCTGTCACAGTTTGACTCAGGTCCGACAACAATGCTCTCGATCCCCCCTCCCCCCAACCCACGTAGGGAAGGAGAGAGAGAAAAAGAGAGAGACTTGGCTGGATTGAAAACTAAACTACACAGCTTTAATTAAAACACTAATGAATGATACAAGAAAATATATACAATTATATACAAATATATTCAGGAATGGGCAAAAAACCTCTCGCCTCCCCCCACCCCAGCAACTCCCACAGCACTTCCCTGAACTGGGAAGAGTCCCGAGGAATCCCGAAGTTGCTGCTGAAGAAAGCAGAGAGTTATGGGGGTCACGAGAGATCAAGCCTGAGGATCGACGGTGATGGATGAACAGAGTCCTCCCTGGACACCGGCCATGGACGGACGAGAAGGGGAGAAGAAAAAGGAAGGAAGTTGTCTTCTGTGATCTCTGACCTTCCTCTGAGCTTACGTAGATATATGGAATGGAATATCTTTGGCCAATTTTGCTGTCCGTCTAACTCAGCCTCCTACGGGGGGGTCACAGATCTCCCCATAGTGTCTGAGCCGGCAGAGTGCAGGTGCGGCCTTGAAGCCTCAGTAGTTAGAAAAACATTCCACTGTCTTATCAGCCTAGCAGAACACACTGTTGCTAGTTACAAGAAAGCTTACTGAAGGAAAAGAAAATCAGTAAAAAGAAAAATTGGCTTCATCCTGGCTCAAACCAGGACACATGCAAATCCTTCTTAGTTTGCCACTAACTGACATGAACAAAATCTATCCTGTCTCTCTTGCTGTTCAGCTGAAGTACTGTGTCTTTGTGCAACAAATCCACACACGCACACATTCTCATGTGCCAAAACAGTAACTTGAATGTGCAATTTTGCTTGAATTTTTTAATCTCCAAGAATAGGTGACATCTGGGATTTTAAAAATGGATGACATTACTTGAGTGTCTGCATAGCTCGGGATAACAGAGTTTTTATAGCTATGAGGCAGCCTACATATTGTGTTAAGGCCTCTGTTGCTTAACATGTGTTATAGGTTGAAAAATTCAACTTGTTAAGTACACAAATGGGATTTTGTACTTCAGAATGAGGAACCTCATCTCATATTCTGTGACTGTCTTCTGATTTTGATGATGTCCCATCAGTCAGACAATTCATCAGGTGCACAAGGTTCCAGTTCTTTGTGTCCATCTTCTTTTTTTACATCATCTGCCACCTTAGTTTCCTCCTTTTTTTGTGTGGTTTTTTTTGTTTCTTTGTTGGTTGTTTGCTTTCTTTCAGAAATGGATTTTGGAGTTTTCAGGGAAACAGACTTGAAAGGATCACTCTGGCCCCTCTGCTGCTCTAGAATGCTCAGAACTGAAGAGTGTCAGGGTCTGAAACACTTCCCTGCTAGAAACAGTCAGGCAAAATGAACTGCAGTTGTGAATTGAGCTGGAGCCAAGTAGTTTTCCTTCCAGGACAGGTTCAGCTGCCTTCAAAGTGCAATAGAGTTTCTCACTTGTAAGGAGCAGTCTGTACAGCAAGCACATGGTTACCCATCCTCATGCATTTGTTGCAGAGCTTATGCTGGTGGTGGTGATGTTTGCTTTTGTGGTTTTGCGGACAAGTCCACCAAGATTTGGCAAGATAAAATAGAGTCTTCCTGAAAAAAACTGTTTTACAGAACTTGAAAATTGGAGTTTAAGAGGAGAATGCTTAGTCTGGCTTTAGCAGCAGTGATGTGGCAGGGCATTGTAGGGATAGCACAGGGACTTCTCTCTCATTTGATACTCTTATTTTGCAGAGTGCACTGTGCCTGATAATAGAGATGTGAAAGCCTGTGATTTAGTGTTTTAGTGGTAGCTGCATGACGTGTGTGCTCTCTGTTCCTTGAAGCAAAGACTCTACCTGCCTGCCTGCTCTGGGAACACATGCAGAAACTATTACCAGGCTACCTGCTTTTGGAAGTACTGTTGAAGGGGTAAGGGGCACTGAGAGCCAGTTAACCAAATGCTGATAATCTCTTTCTATTCCATGCTCAGACTGGAAAATAAAAAGTACTTATCTTCTTCAACAAAGTTCATACTTGAGAATTTAGGAGAAATTACTCTGGCATCCAAGAAGAGCGTTTCAGATCACTTATGTGTGGGAGGAGGTGCACCTCAGTGGGAGGAAGTGGGCACTCAGCCCACTCCACTCTGGGCAGACCTCAAGGTCTCAGTGTGATACAGTTTCTCTGATTTGCAAAATCCTCTGGTGTTAATGTTCACTTGGGGGCATGGGAGCTCAACTGGAATGAAGAATAGACAAAGGGGGATTGTTTGGCTTTTTAATTTTGTGGAAAGAATAGGATTTTAAGAACAACACTTTAGATTCTAATTCTTCCCTTTATTGACCCTCATCTCTTTAAAACCGGGTCATCTTGGAATAGTAATACACCAGCTCCTTCTACCTGCAGTGACCCTCTTGGTCAGCATAGCATCACATGCAGAAATGTTATCATGCATGTCAGGAAAGGTACAGTAGAGTCGAAATGTCTTTTCTGGAGAACAGTCTCTTTGTAATGCACACTTAATTTCCAAAGTCACCTCTTGGTCTGTGGGGTGGCTTTGCTACATGGACAAAGAAAGCTGGGATACCTTCCGTGTACAGAGCTGGGGATGCAAAGTATATGTTATTATGATTATGATTATTATTATTGATAATAATAATAATGATGTTGAATGCTATCTGGTTCTGACTTAAAAGAACATCTGCAAAATTACATCTTGTCAGTTTGCTTCTTTAATTTTGTTGGGTTTTGCTTTTTTTTTCCTGTGGCAGTGATGGAGTAAGGAACAGTTAATCGTGACATGCACTGAAATCCAAATATTTGTTTTTCTTTCAGTTTGGGAACAATAACAGCTACATGAACATGGCAGAGGCAAATAATGCATTTCTTGCTGCAAATGAGGTAGATGGTTTTCTTTTTTTTCTATGCTCATATTCTGTTGTTTGCTGTGATAATTTAACAGAGTTTGAATGGATGAAGAGTGAAGTGCCGAATTTCTGTGTGTTTTATGGAGCACAAAATAAAGACTTTAATGAGAAAGAAAATAACCTGACAGCTCTCCATTACCAGTCAATTTAGCTGTTCGTATGGCTGTTACTTACATAGCATGTCAATAGAAACAAATCTGCTTTATGTATGAGAATATTATAAACAGAAAGAAACAAAAAGCACAGTAGGTGTACACTTCGAAAGCAAGCTTAGTAATAGTCTTTGCTACCTAATGTGCTAATTTCTGTTCTAGATACAAACATTTTAATTTTGGTTCTCAATGCTGATGTGAGTTAGAAATCCCAAACCGACTTTGATGTGTGAAGTGTAGGTGCTATGTGAAGGAGACTCTGACCAGGATCCAGAACAAACCCAGGGACCAGGCTGGTGGAGGCTGTCTGGATTGTGGAGGTTGATGTATTTGATCACTGCCTTTGAGAATGGAAACAGAAGAGAGGTCTGCAGACTGCAGTCTCTTGTGTATTTGTTACAGTGGTGCCACCTCCCAGCCAGTTCACAGACTATCAACACACTAATATTGACTCAATCTCCAGACAGAAACACCTTTTGTTTGTCACTAAAAATCAACAGCTCTTATTCCAAAGGGAAGGGTGGCAAGTGCACTGTCTAGTAATGTGCACAGCAATATGGAGAACAAAACCTAATTATTTATATAGGGTGCACACCATAAATGATCTTCCCAACATAAGTAAAGGTTGGAAGACTGGGCAGCCGTGATTTTACGTGGTATAGGTGATTCAGTTGCAGGTATTCTTGAGCACTTTTAAAAAGCTATCTTGGAGAAAATAAGCAGAAGGTTGTACCAATACATATGAAGGTTAGAATTAAGAGTTGTGTTTTATGAATCATTTATACAATGGTCACCATTTCTTTTTACCCAGCAAGGCTGCTTAGATAAGGCAATATTGTTTGGCACGAGCTCCAGTGTTATTTGTGATAATGAACACAAACCCCATCTGTAATGACAACATGATGTTTCTTTCTGTAGAATTTCTTTCCTACATTTGAATCAAACATTGATGAAAGCTCTGCTGCCAGCAGCTGTTCAGAGACAATTTAATTCCAGCTGTGATAATTCACCGTGTCAGACATTGGCTGTTATATGTTGATACAACAGTTCTCCAGATTTGCATTTTTATCAAAAGGAACAAATGTTTTAAACATTTCAGTACAGATGGCATTTAACCACGCACACAGTTTAAAAAAAAATGTGTAAGATACAAATATTTGAAAAGTTAATAACTCTAAAGATGTGATTGGTAAGATAAATCCCACAAATGTTATACCATCTTTTGGTCATAACAGCACCTTTCTGCAATCCCAAATTGCATACTATCCAAGCTCTTTTTACAAACTGAATAGCTCAGTGATTTAGATTTAAGACTACTTCACTAAGGGGCTTGCTTTCTTTTTAGATTACATCTATTTTGTCCTCGATCTTAGGTCTCTTATATGTTTGGTTCTTTTTCAAAAATTATATATATATTTGGACAAGTTTTATTGTGATAATTAAATTCACATTTAAAAAATGTTAAGGCATTCATCAATTTACTCTCCCATTTATAGTAAGCTATAAGTAGTAAGATGAATGATCAAATTTAAGTATTGTATTATTACCTGTGTTATATATTTATACAGCAGTCCTAGAGTTATTTGGGTAGATGGGGAAAACATCCAGTTCTTGTAACTGCTACTATCTCATCAATATGTCAAGTAAAGAGAGGTTCAAACCTAGTCAAATAATACAGATTTCACTAAAGCCTATTGTTGAGCAAGAAATAAAAATATGATTGTTAGTGCTCCATTAAAGCATGAACCTGAGTTTACAATTGCTGCATTACAATGTATTTAATTATGCTGGTTTTATGTTATCAGGAATGCAGCTTTCTCACAATGATTTTGGGCCTGAGCACTGCTGGGCTGGAAGCTCATTTTATTCCTGTAAATAATGCCTTAAGAGTGTAATCTTAGAGCACGTTCAGGCTTACAAGCCGCATGTTTGCTTTATTTTTTCTGTCTCTGTGTCATGATTACTATGACCTATTTTAAAGCACCTTAAATATTTATTGAAATAATATTTCAAGTGTTAATTACAGTGGTAATGAAAACAGCCAAATGCCACATATCAAGAATGAGTGTTTATCCGTATTGTTAATGTGATATGTTAGATTTCATTAAGCAGTAATGGGGTAGCAAATGAGTCACAAATTACAGTTGCATCTGTTACTAGACCACATTAGTGCCAAAATAACTGCAAATGCAGCCATAGGGTTATGTTCATTAGCCAAACACTTCTCCTGGCCAATCCGTCCTTTGTGAACTAAGGGGTGCACGGGAAGAAAAACTCAAACCTTTTGTAGCACAGAGCAGGGAAGTCAAACGTCTGCCTAATCTAGGCCCAGCTCTCATGTTCAGAATGAAGTTACAGCCCTGCAGATGGAGTGAGATAGGCAGAGTCTCAGCAGACTCTGCCTGTACTGCAGCCTGGGACCTCATCATTTCTGGTGTGAGACCAATAATGACAGCTGACAGGTTCTATATGCGAGCAAAGGTTTTTCTTGTGTTTCACTTTCCATCTTCTCTCAAGCGGTTATTAATTTATATCATCATTAGCAGTTTGAAGGATGACAATTTGCAGCAGTTAATGAGATCTTTCACTGAACATATAATTTTTAAATTAACTGGCATTAAGTCACTCTTTCAAACAACGTAAATAATACATAAAATAATTCCTCCCCTCCTCCAACTCAAATCCTGAACTAATGCAAACATACAAATCCCAAAGCAGCCTTGCATGTCCAGAACAAGACATGAGTTATTTTAGGATTGCCAACTGCCCAGTTTGATCAAGACAGTCCTGATTTGGGTGCATTTAAAATGGCCTAATTTCAAGTGCTGCATTTCTTTTATTAAGTAGCAGCGGACCTGAAATAATATATGAAAGTTCATTTAACTCGCAGGAAATTTGAATAAGCATAGCTCATTTGTTTCCCAAATAAAAGTCAGCTATGTTGAAGCCAGATACAAACTCTATTTGAATAAAGATTATCTTTGACAGACCCATGCACATGTACAAACATGCACAAACCCTGGAGATAACTGGCAGTAAATGTTTTGCTCAAGGCATCTTAACAGGTGTTTAGTTCATAACAAGCCTACTGTTCAAACAAAGCTGGCTTGCTTCAGAAAGCACTGGAAGCTGCTGTAATCACCCTCACTCTTTTATGTGTGTCTCATCTCCATATTACAACCCTTGTTAAAAAGGGGCATTGTGCTTTTGGGATCAAAAAGAAATAAAGACCAGAATTAAAATATTTCATATTTATTAGTGGCTAAAAAGCAAACAAGAGATGTGAAGTGGTCAATGCTGAATTAATGCTCTGTGTGTGTGCTACAAAATTGTCAGTATTTCGGGAAGCATGAGAGTAATGTGAGCTGTTTGTGCTGTTTTACTAACATATCAATAAAGTGGCAATTTGTTATACAGCCAAATCCAATGTAGCTGATATTCAGACTAACAACAAAGACAGATGTTGCTAATTAAGCACGCATTAAAAAACTGTTAATACTGATACTCCATTAAAGCCATATGATAATGAGACTTAAATCTTTAATCAGAATGATCCACAAACCTCTTCAGTTATACAAAACTTAAGAGCATTGTTGTCTATAGAGTTTGCATTTGGGTGGGTGCTGAGGAGCTGTGTGTCCTAACATGGTTTGCCTTGTCCTGTCCTTTTCTAGCAGACATTCCATACGCCGAGCCTTGGGGACGAGGAGTTTGAAATCCCACCCATTACCCCCCCACCTGAGTCAGACCCTGCACTGGGGATGGCAGATATTCTGCTGCCCTTTCAGGGCCTTGGGGACCAGCTGCCTGCACAAGGAACCGAATTTACACCTCAGTTTCCCCCCCAGAGCTTGGATCTTCCCTCTATTACAATATCCCGCAATGTTGTGGAGCAAGACGGCGTCATCCACAGCAATGGATTACATATGGTAGGTCCAGATCTTTGTGTGTTTCTGTTGCCTAATAATGTAGATTTGTGTCATCCATCAGTTTTAACTGACCTCTCAGAAGATCTGTGTGATTTCTTGGTATTGTAGCCTGGCCAAGCATTTGCCAATAGTTCTGCATTATGCGCAGGCATATTCTGTGAGTGATGACACGTGTTGTCAGTGTTACACAGTCAACAATAAGATGCTATTATTCAGTTCCCTAAGGCAGTTGGCAAATGGTTAAGGGTTTAATATTGGTGGATTCAGGAAGATAAACATGGCTGTTAATGTACAGTGCAATACTATACTGTGTGTGAACAGATCTCTTGTGAAGAAGTAGCCAGGCTTTATTAACACAGAATTTTAATTTTGCAAATGGGCTTGGAAGCCCATAACCATTGGCATCATGTTCATCCCAAGGGCTGCTAAAGTTCAAAAAATGTGTAAAACAGTTGATGATGGCACCAAGTTGAAAGACCATTGTGTTGGCCAGGGTGAACTACAGCATTTAGAAGGAATTGCTTGTCTTTATTTCAAGTATAGGATATAGGACCCAGAGCTGACAACCATCGGGATATTTTGAAAGTGCAGTATTGCGAGCAGCTCAGAGGTTGGATCCAGATGCACTATGCCAGGAGTAAAAAACCCATATATTTCCCTATATTCTGTGTATACAGTGGGCTAAATATTTATAAATGGAAATTGGGGTTTTTTTTCCATCATTATAGAAGTGGTAGGGATGTGTAACCTTGACCATACCTAGAAGTACAGAGCCATAAAACGACACTGTTCTGTCTGGTGCTCTTGTTGACCATAGCAACTGTGGCAGGTTGGGCCTGTTCTCCTGCTCCTGGGCTGTTTCTGAGCCCTCTGGGAGGTGGAGGGATGATCCAGGTGTGGGGAAGGGCTTGAGTGACAGAGACTTTTGGGATGATTCCAGTGATCATTCCTGTTAACTAGAGCAATCAAAACCAAAGCTGCATGGAGTTTTCTCCAGAATCTGTACACACCGTATGGCTGTGATCTCAGTGGGAGGGTATAGCAGGAAGTTTCCACTTTCTTCTTGTATTTTCCCTTTTGGCTTTGGGGGATCTCCCTGCTTGGGTTTCTCTAAGCTTTGTGCAGCAGCATTATTGCTCCCAGTGCTGAGAAACAGCTGTGAGTCAGTTTATCATGCTTAGCATTTTAAACTCAATGGTTGCAATTAGCAGTAGTTTCTGTATTGCATATTGAAGTCAGAGTCAATATTTAGCTTCAGCAGATATTTTACATCAACTCTATTTTTTCTGATTAGTTTTTTTATATAGGACCTTCTGCTAAACGTAGTGCAGTGAAAATACAGATGAACTGCTGGACTCTAATAAAGGTCATTGTGTTGTCATGTTCTGATTTAATGTAAATATTTTTCTTTTTTATTGTTCTTGCAAGTGAAAAATTAGAGATTTACAAATCAATAGACAACAAATATTCCTCTAGAATTCTGCAGGCTGCTGGCTTCATTGCAAATCTTAGTGTTTCCTTTGAGATCATGAAGAGTATCTAGGACAGATAAAGAATTAAGTGCAAACTGCTTGTTGCTGAGGAGGTACAGAATTCAGTAATGCCTTAGATACAAAGCAGGGACTGACTACAACAGGCTTTGAAGGATATGACACTTCTTCTCAGATCTGATTTTGGATGGGATTTTGTATGCACTGCCTATGTTGGGGGGACTACTAAAGAACAATCAGGTTAATAAAACCTGAGAGTAAGGAATGTCATGACTGCAAACTGAAGCAATGGAGTGTGTGTGCACTGAATCCAATGAAGTTTGTTCAGAAATATGTAGCAAGTATTGTGGGCTGTATCAGTCCTCTATGATGAGTATCCCCTCAGTGGTATCAAGGGGTTTGTAACTTGACCCAGTTTTGCCTTTTAATTTTGCATCCTTCACTGAATGTGATTCTTCCATGAGTAAATCCTGTCGCCTCAACAGTTCCAACCAGAAGAGCCTTCCTGGCTAGATATCTCTTCTTTTACCTCTTTTTCCATTGGACAAGAAACTTCACATCTTATCTTTCTTTTTGTCCCCCCTTAGTCTGTGCAATGTGTAAATTAACTGTATAGTTTACACTGACTTGGATGGTAAGAATTTGTTCCTGTCTGTGTCAAAGAGAAGACCTAGAAAAGCTCATGCTTCCTTATCCCAACAGTGCGGTAGTATTTTCCAGGGTGACTCCCACTTCAAAGCTGTAAGTCAGGAAGTTGAGTGTACTTTTGCTGGATAGAATTGATGAGGAATTGTGTTATTTGATACAGAGGAGCCACACAGGGAGGTTCGTGGGTCAGATGCTTCTCCACGACTGTTTAATTTGTTTTATACTGTGAGATAGAGGGACCCCTGCCATTGCATTTCAGTCAGTAATCTTTTCTGCTCATAACTGCTGTGTGGCTTCAGGAAGTTTAAAAAAATTAAGAAAGGGTTCTTGCCTAGGTTTCTCCTGAACTCATCTAGCCCTCTTTAGTACTCAAATTTTCCAGCAGTTAATCTGTATTTCAAAAATAGAAAATGAAAACATTTTATCATATTTTATGTGAAAAATGTGCACTTTATTAATCTGGTAAATATTTATTAATAATATCAGAATTCATCTTTAAATTAGACATTTCATGAATTACCTTGCCTTGGAGCTATAAGAACTTTATTGCAGCAATAAAAAAAATGTAAAGGAGGCATTTTGACTATGAAATTTCATTTCATGGTCAATTGAATTTACTATATCTGAAAGAACTAAAGATGGGGTTGTAAAATAATTATGATGTTCGTATACACTTACAGAACAATGTTCTTACCCAGCCATACTAGAATAGTCTTATTTAAAGGCTGTATTAACAGTGTATCGCTAATCACTAAAGCTTCTTTAGCTGAATACAAACTTAAATTATTTTAATATAAACTGCATTGAGTTTATTGGTTATCTAGTGAAGCATTAGAGAGCTTTACTGTAAGCAATGTTTAATTTAGGTGAATGTATTCCTACCCTGTTGAAAAGTCTGGTAGAAGAATTTCACCTTGAAGAAATGTCACGAGATTTAAAATCAGAAATGTTGAAAAAATAAAACGAGTTTGGACAGAATTATGATTAATACTGTGTGTCTTTGGCTTTTTTCTATGTACTACCTGACATGTTCACCTATAAACTTGAATGCAGAATCGCCAGAGGCATGGTTAAAAATAGGTTATGTCAAGGTTCTCGTGTGTCTCCCTTAGGTTATGGAGTTGGTTAGATACCTTGTAGTACTTTTACAAGTATCTCACATATTTGCCACAGGAAAACAAAACAAAAAATAAAAAAAGGAAATAATTATATTTTTAATATATTGTTAATATATTATTATATTGAAAAAAATAATCATGGTGCAAGAAAGATATTTATTCTCATAATAAATGTAGTCTAGCATTATTAAAAGATCATATTGATGGGTTAATAGTCATTCATACTATTAAGAAGGTGGGGTTCTTGAAATATGTTTATTTTAAAAATCTTCAATTATTTCCTTATTTACTTTTCAGATTATTTCAACACATTTATCTTATTTAGCAGCATTTTTATACATTTAAAAGCAGACAACAGCAACAAAAAGAGGAGACAAAATGAAGGAAGTCGGATTAATTTTCATATTTTAATAATATGCAAATAAAATCCTGACGTTCAAAAATGAGTCACTGAAAAATGGAGTGCTGATGTACATTTGACTTCAAAGAACACATGGATTTACATGATGCAAATATTATCCCTATAAATACTTGAATGTAAATAAGCTGAAATCAGCAGTGATATCCTCATTAAAAATCAGCCCCCAATATTTTATGTTAATGCTCTGTTTTATGTTGACCTGACCATAGAAAAATTATTTTATTCTGCAAACTGTGGCAATTCTATAAAACTACAACTTGTGCTCCTGAGGGTTCCTTTTTTTAACACCTCTCTATAATCTGCCCAGCCTGCTGAGTAGCATTGACATCAGTAGTACATCAATTTCAGAAAGTGGATTATTTTTACTAGACAGCTATTGTGACATATTGGGTCAGTCATAAATGAAAGATATTCATGCAAGCATGCAATACTTGTAATGAAGTCTCACTCTGACCTTCTGTATGATTGATTCTGTAATTTAGTTTTCTCAGGCAGTGCCTGAAATGAAATGAAATCATGTTGAACAAGTTTTGAATACCCACAGTGCACCAGGAGAAGAAAAATCTGCAGCCCCAGAGGCTTGAGAGAGAGCAGCTGAACGATTTATCTCCATGCTATTATAGCCTTTGCCAGCATTCAACATTTCTTTTTTTTTTTTTTTTCCTTTTTTTTTTTTTTTTTTTTCTTATTTGGCTTAAGTACTTAATTCTGCAGGTAGCTGTAAATGGGAAAATAAAATGCTGTTCAGATTTAAAATGACAGGACAGGAGTATGTGCAGGGGACTGATAAAATATCTTGAATAGAACTGACCTTTCATGTAGCTGAAAGTTACTGGGGGATTCATCCTCATAATTACCATATAGATTATTTTTATTTCTTTCCTGCAATGAAACATTTCAGAGAGCAGTAGTGCTGATTGAATGAAAATTGAACTTGTTAACATTCTTTTCAGCTTAGCCTGTTGTACATAACAGAAGGTTAGCTTTGATGAATTTCAAAATTCTCATTCTGATATCTAAGAAACAGACAGTAAAATAATTGTCTCTTTTCAGACCGATTTTTTTCTTTTATTCAAAAAAGTACAGATGTTACAAAAACAGACTGATAATTTTACATACATTAACTGGCCATATTAAGTATGCTGCTAGAGAAAATGTGTTCCCTATTTGATGAAGATTTGAGCCAGTTTCTATGTGGCAAGTGCTGTCAGTGCATTCAGAATTCTGCACAGATAAGGCTAATTCATAGTGGAATATGCTTGTGTTTAATTACATTACTACTTAGGAGTGGCACTGTGCTCAAATCAAAGGCTGATGGTGACT